TATTTTGGGGATTGTATATTGTAAACACATTCAGGAAGTAGAAATAAAAAACATTTTATTGGAGAAAAGGCATCCCAGAGCAATATGGGGAAGATATATAGCAGAGTATAGATAATAGCCAGGGTTGTGTTTGTTGGATAGTGATGTAGTACTAAGTCCCTAAAGAAATTTGTACCCAGAGTCCTGGTATTAATGTACTATACTCTATCACCTGCAAAACTTGAGTCCAAGATCATCTCTGCCACATACTGTCTTGACGAGGTGACATTTTATTTCTTGGAATTTCCTTATTATTATATTTAAAATGTGATAATTCATAAACCACTTGGGAGGACTAAATAAAAAAATGTGAGTATCAGTAATTAGAACTGTAAAATAATAGAATGCCAATAAGCAAATAATTATCAATTAAATAGCTAGCATACATGTTCCAACTTTATGCTTTACATAATTCAATTCAAACTTTACTACAAATTACATATGAGGATATCTCATCTATATCTAAAACACTCAGAAGAGTAGAAAAGGGGAAATATTAAATTCTTAAAGGCCCAGTATATTATATATAAATAACTCTGTTGGTCTTATTGTACATAAACCCAACATTAAAAATTTTATTAAGTAATTAATTATGGGGGTGGATAATGATTTGAAAATTGTAAGGGAAAGTAGCATAGAATCCAGCTGATATGTGAAAAAGTGGTGGATAGTAAAGATAAATGAAAAAGTAACAGTGCAGAGCATTAGATCATTTTTTAAATGCACAAACCATTGAAGAATTACAGAAATTGAATAAAATAATTATTTATATGATATGGTGAATTTTGAAAACATATTTGGAACAGTTAGATATGTTTTTTAAATAAACCTTCCTAAGGTAGATATCTGAGAGGAGGAGCTCATCCAGCCTAAATTATTTTATTAAATTTGATGATACAAACTGCCATTAATAGAAGATAAATCAAAGAAACTATGGTGTAAAGTAAATCTAAAGTCCTGTGGAGCACAAAATTAACTGAGTGTGTTATTGAACCTGTAGTTTTAATGCAAATATTAATCATTCAAATGTGTGAAAATCACTGCTGTTCTCAGGGAGCAAGTCATCAATACGGCTTACATCTATTAGAAAACCACCCTACCACATCATCCAAAAAGTAGAAATGAGAAATTTGCCTCATGTCCTTGCATGTTCCAAATCACAATCTATGATTTAGTATTTTCATTTGGATTGTGTCCAATTAATTTGTCTTTGATAGAAATGTGTTTTTGCTTACTTGTTTCAGCATTTAGACACTGGGTTCTAAAGCAAAAATAAAATCAAGGGAAAATTGCAGTAAGCATAGTTTATGAAGTGATTTATAAAATTTTTATTCTGAGATCATTTTAAACCTAAAGAAAACTTACAGGATTAGCCTTAAATTTATACTCCTTACCAGATTACCCAACCGTTAAATTTTGATGTTTTCTTAGTCATTTACTCTCTTTCTAAATATAGGCATGTGCTTCAGAACTATGTAAATATTTTTTCCTCATTAATCTCCAAATCCCAGTTTTAATATCCAAAATAACTAATGTGTAAATAAAATTTTATTATCATGATTTTAAAACGTTGTTTTTAACATCATTTTTCTTAATCCTTTAATAGTTGATATTTTGTTGTAATGGAAGCTGTTATTTCTCTATGTATGTCTGCATTATCCATTTATTATTTATTTGTTCTCATTTATTTATTATCTGTATGGACTCATCAGTTTCTTTTTCAATCATTGGGTCATAATCTGAAACTGCCACCATTTGTTTTGATGTTCAGGTTGTCTTAGATTTGATTAGGTAGATCCCCTTCAATGTAAATGTAGCTCATGTATTATTTTGATAGGGCCCCACAATTTTTTTGTGAACTCCCTTACTTTCTGGCAATACAAGATGTTGCATTTACAGTTTGAACTTTCTCTGTCTGAGATCTAAATTTGTTATCCATCTCTTCAAGTTATCTTCGTTATTTGTGTTAAGGAATGGTATTTGGAAACAAAATCAGGATCTAGGTATTCTTATTACTATTAATGCTACTGGAAGTCATTGCATCTAGGCCCTTTCAGCTAACAGAATTATTAAATATATGTATGCATATATTCTATACAAACATACATATATGTCTATATACGTGTGGAATTAAAATCATAAATTTATGAAACTCACATTGTCAATATAGTATGACAGATTTTTTAGGACTTTTCCTATTCCATATTTGTATTACTCTTCTCCTATAGTGAGAAAACTATCTCATCATTCTAGAAAGTTTCTTTGAAATGCTAAACTAATTTCACTATGGAAAATGATCCTACTAAGCAAAGTTTAAAATTATTGCTATAGTTCTTTATATCCTTAGATTGAAAGCACATGCTTTTTTAAAAAATTAATAACTTCTTGGGTTTTTATGCTGTATCTCCATCCATCCATCCATCCATCCATCCATCCATCCATCCATCCATATATACACATACACTGTTCTCCTTCTTTCCTCTTCCTAACCTCCTCTTTTTTTTTTCAATTGTGTAGAAGAACATTGCATGGATATAACTTATTTTTTATCAACATTTTACTAGGCATTATAATTTAGTTGTTTCCAATCTTTTGTGATTAAAGAAGTGCTGTACTGAATTGCACTCATATGGTTTATTTTTACATTGGTAGAATGGTAGAGGAACATCTTAAGGAAAAATTCTTGCAAATGGGGAATTGCAGTTTTATTTTAGTTGCTGTAAAATATTCTAAAGTATTATTTTGAACAGTCATGAAGGCGAATGAATATCCATTTCCAGTCTGTTGCATATATTTTTTAGTTTCAGCCCAGTGAATATAACTAAATCTAAAAAGAAACATATAAAGCAAGTAAAATCTAGAAATTGAGCAAAATACAGTTATCTGGGAAAATATGAATGTGTTTTTCAAATATAACTGTGAGAAAAAGAAACCAAGCACAAAGAGTACATACTGTGTGATTACATGTATATAAAGCATAAAAACAAGTAAAACTACTCTTCAGCTTGAAGACATCAGGATTATCATTTCCTTGGTGGGTTACTAGTGGCAGGAATGGAGCATGAGGGAGCTCTGAGATGTTGAATAATTCGCTGGCCATGACCAGAGTGTTGATGACATTATAATGTCCAGTGGAAGAAATTCATTAAGCATTTTATGAATTATATACTTTTGTATATAAAATAGGAAATTATTTAATAAATATTTAAAAGACAAAGTATATATGTTTTTCATTATATGAAAAAAACATTATTTTTTCCAAGTAAATTTATATTTAGAGTTTAAGGATATTCATAACTGTAGCTATGTTAAAATTTTTTGATGCATGTCAAATTTTAGAAAGATATATAATGTAAAGGTGATGGTTTTGGTAGCCTTAATTGCAATTAAATGCTTATTTATTTATTTATAAATGTGAATAAATTTGGGATATTTTTAAATTCAATAATTTAAAAGTTTGTAATAATCAGAATAATTATTGTTAACTATTTAAAGAGACAAATGTTCTTGGGAAACAAATGGTGTTGGGAAAACTGACAGGAACATGCACAAGGATGAGACTGGACCAGTTTCTTACACATACACAAAAATACTCAAAATGGACTAAGGGACTAAATATAAGACATGAAACTATCATGCCATAGCAACATCATTCTAGATATGTCTTCTGAGGCAAGAGAAACAAAAGCAAAAATAAACTATTGGGGTTACATCAAAATAAAAAGTTTCTTCACAGCAAAGGAAATTAAAGAAACAACACAAAACAAAAACAAACAAACAAACAAAAAACACCTAAGAGACATCCTACTGAATGGGGAAGATACTTGCAAATGACATGTCCAATAAAGGGTCAGTATCCAAAATCTATAAAGAACTTATAAAAATCCACCAAAAACCCCCAAAATAATCCAATTAAAAATGATCAGAAGACAGGAACAGACATTTTTACAAAGAATATATATAGATGGTCAACAGACACATGAAAAGACGTTCTACATCATTCGTCATCAAGGAGATGCAAATCAAATTTAGGATGAGATATTACCTCACACTTGTCAGAATGGCTAAAATCCAGAACACAAGAAGCTGCAAATGCTGGCAAGGATATGGAGAAAAAAGGAACCCTTATGCACTGTTGGTGGGAATGCAAACTGATGGAGCTACTGTGGAATACACTAAACAGGTTCTTCATAAAGCTTAAAACAGAACTGCTCTACAATCCTGTAATCACACTACTGGGTATTTATCCAAAAAATGCAAAAGCACTATTTCAAAGGTGTACCCCTTTATTTCTTGCAGTATTAATTACAATAGCCAAATTATGGAAGCAGTACAAGTGTCCATCAATAGATGAATGGATAAAGAATTTATACACACACACACACACACATGCACACACACACACGGGAATACTAATCAGCTATATAAATGAATGAAATCCTGCAATTTGCAACAACATGGATGGATCTGGCTAGTATAATGCTAAGTGAAATAAGTCAGTCAGAGAAAAACAAATACCATTTGATTTCACTCAAATGCAGAATTAAACAAAACAAATGAGCAAAGGGGAAAAAAGAGAGAGAGAAATCAAGAAACAGATTTTTAACTATAGAGAACAAACTGATGGCTACTAAGGGGGTGGTGGGTGGGCAGATGGGTGAAATATCATTAAAAAGTGATATGATGAGCACTGAGTAATGTATAGAACTGCTGTATCACTATATTCTATACCTGAAACTAACAAAACAATATATGTTAACTATACTGGAATTAAAATAAACAACTTAATAAAACTAAAGAGAGAAATGCTAAGATTTCAGTGACATAACAAAACCAAAGTATAGTTCTCATTGAAGAAAATAGGTTCAGATTTGGTGATTCTACAACCTTTATGCGGTAACGGTTCTTTCAGAATGTTTCAGAATTGTGAATCTGCATCATCTCCATCAGCATCTCATGGCCACCATAGGTACTGCAAAGAGAAAGTAGAGGCCAGACATACTGGTTTATCTGTCTCATTCTGGAAGTGACACACCATCCATTAGCCACATATATTCAAGTGGTTTCAAATTAATATCAAAGGATGTTGGGAATGTAAAGGGACACTAAAATATTTGGTGAGTACTTAGTGTCTGTACCATAACCTGGTGGTCTAGTACTAAACATATCTTTGCTCCCATTTCCTCACACACAATCCCTTCCAAAAGAAGGAAAAAAAAGTCTGTAGTCACTGTGTCGAAGTAATATGTTACAGAGTAATAATATAATAACCAAACATTTCATATGCAGGTTTAATTAAAAAATAATATTGAAATATTAGGGAGCCTTAAAACATTGATAAAGCAAATTCTCAATTCAAAATTAGACTCTAAAGAAAAGCCATTTACAGCTGTAATTATTTTCCTTTTTAAAAATTTATCTTAAATTATCTCCTTTGTGTTTCCCTTCATAAAATTCAAATAATATGGGGGCACATAGGTGGCTCAGTGGGTGAAGCGTCTGACCCTTGATCTTGGCTCAGGTCATGACTTCATGGTTCATCATATCGAACCCTCACATTGAGCTTTGCACTGACAGTGTGGAACCTGCTTAGGATTCTCTCTCTCCCTCTCTAAGTAAATAAATAAAAACTTAAAAAAAAAAAAAGCGTGGGGCACCCGGATGGCTCAGTCAGTTAAGCCTCCGACTTCAGCTCGGGTCATGATCTCACAGATGGTGACTTAGAGCCCCATATTGGCCTCTCTGCTGACACCTCAGAGCCAGGATTCTGTTTCGGATTCTGTGTCTCCCTGTCTCTCTATCCCTCCCCATTCACTTGTGGTCTGTCTCTCTCTCTCTCAAAAAATAATAAACATTAAAAAGAAGAACCTGCTAGTTGGAAAAAAAATTGGGTAGTGTGGATGAGACTTTATGGTCCTGAGAATTTCAGCAGATGTTTCAAAAAGTCCAGTGAGTACTTAGGGCTAAATTTTATTATTAGTGAATGTATAATCTGTGCTGATTTCATGGTGGTTACTGATCTGCATTTTGCCAGTTCATCATCAATCAGTACTTATGACTTCTTGGTATATCCTTTTTTGAACATAGTTCTAACATGTTACTTTAGGACTCTTTAAAAAAAATTATTTAAGGTTCTTTATTTAGAGAGAGACAGAGACAACATGAGTAGGGAAGAGGCAGAGAGAGAAGGAGAAGAGAGAGAATCTGCAACAGGCTTTGCACTGTCAGCACAGAGCCTGACACCAGGCTCCATCTCACAAAACCATGAGATCATGACCTGAGCCAAAACTGAGAGTCAGACACTTAACCAACTGAGCCACCCATGTGTCCTTTCCTGAAGGAACCTTAAAATTGAATATACAATAAAAAGTGCAGGAACAGTCTATATATATAATAAACCATGTGATTCATCTGCTAAAGTGATTAGTGCCTAGAGAAAAGGTATTGGGAGCACTTCACATATCTCCATTCTCTACACTATTTTTTTTTTTTTAAATTATTTAGAGTTCAGAATACTTCAGAGGACAACTTTAAAAATATTATGTGCAACTTTGGTTAGAGATATTTTTATGGACTAGCTAAATCTAGATATAGTTCTGGACTTGGTATGCTTCTTAAATCTGATGATTCATCTATATTCCAGAGCCATTATTTCTTTAAGTTACTTCTTTCTCATGTTATCAATTAATTCTTTTTTAATCTACTATTAGATTTGTGTTAGATCTTTTTCTTTTCTACATTTTTTTTTCAAATGAAAAGATCTAAATTAACTTCAATAGTTCTTTTCTTCAATGTGTTAAGCTATTGTGTTTTTTTTTTTAAAGTTTTTTATATTTTTTATGTAGTTTTCCTTCCTTCCTCCCTCCCTCCCTCCCTTCCTACCTTCCTTCTTTCCTTCCATTGTGGACAAGCAGAAGGAGAGGAAGGAAAAGAGAGAATCTTAAGCTCCACTCCCAGCATGGAACCCAACATGGGACTCGATCTCAAAACTGTGAGATCATGACCTAAACTGAAATCAAGGGTCAGACACTTAACCGACTGAGCCACCCAGGCACCCCTAAAATTTTTATTTTTAATTATTTTTTAATTTATTTTTAATTATTATAAAAACATAACAAAATTTACCATCTCTAGTATATAGTTCAGTAGTGCTAAATATATTTATATTATTTGGCAACAGTGTTTTGTCTAACTACTGAGTCTTTATTATCCAATATTTTTAAATTTATATAACTTTTATTTTCCAATTTGTTTCTCCATTTCTTTATTCTTCACAATATTTTTTTTATTTCTCTCATTAGTTTTATTGTATATTAATAAAAGACACTTTTAAATTGTTGCATATTTCTAATTCTTGTAGCTTTTAAGTTATCTCAATCAAGATAATAGGATTTCTCCATTCTTTTTTCTTTTTCATAAAGATGATAACCAGTAAAGAATATTTTGCTTACAGATAACTGTTACTTTTGTAATCCTATCCTTCATTCCATTATTTTTAGTCACTTATATTGATTAACTAAGGAACAGAGTGAGTTTTATAAGTAATCAATGCAACTTCTTGGTTATACTATTGCTCTGAGAAAGTAAATTTGGCTCATTATTTTATGTAATTATTAGCTTCTTAAGTATAACTAATTCTTCAAGGTCTAGATTAATTTCTACGTCTTTCATGAAGTTTATACTCTTGTTTTAAGATGATCTTTTATTGTTTGCTAGATTGTGCCAGCAACTACTGGGGCTATGAACATCCCTACTCTTACTTAAAACAAAATGGAATTTTCATTTTCTCAGTAACTCAAAGATTCCAAATTGACTGCTATCTATCTATCCGCCTTGATGTGAAATGAGATTTGGAACCATAAATAAATATGAACCTTGTGCTCTGTTAGGTAAGTGTGTAGAATCAGATGATACTGACCAAGAAATTATCACACAAAAAATCACAAAGTTGGAGCAGTCATTGAGAGTTACTCAGGAAAATTAAATTTGGAACATCTCAAAAGCCACCAACAAATGTCTTCTAGAGTCCTCTAGATGGGAGTAACCAAAAGAGACTTTTCCCACTAAAGTCTCTTCCCTTAGACTCTCTTGCTTATGAATATGTGCTGCTTATCTCAGATGCTAAATGGACCATTATCCTATTTATTGACCCATGTTTTCTTCCAGCTAGTTTCTAATGTGTTTGGAAACAGTAGTTTTTTTAAATACTCAAATATGCATCATATTTTTTCTGTACATGCTAGGTATACTATATTCACTTTTCTACTCTATATAGAATTTAACTAGATGGAAATCTTAATCTTATTTATAATCAGAATAGTCACAGAATAGCCAAGTATAATACTGTGGTTCCATTTTCTGTATATATTTAGGTACATATCTATATATTTAGTTATCCATTGGGTAAAAAATATAAATTATGAGAATTTCAGACAATGGTTTAATGCAAAATATGAATACCTAGTGTCCAATTTGATAGAAAATAACAATAATTAGATGATAAAATATCAAACAATAGATTCACGTGAGTACAATTTTGTAACTATTATAGAAATAGTAAATAATGGGGAGCTAATTTTATAATATTGGTAAGACATCAAACATCACATGATTACAACTGAGCCAATGGTTCTTTCCATCTCTCTCTCTGCCTGCAGGATTTGGGGGGACTGTCAATGCCATGTCACACTGCTGCAAAATCCTCAAAAGTAAGCAAAAACAAGTGTCATTGGATAGGTTCCTTGTTAAAGTTGCACAAAAAGAAAAATATTCCATTGAGCCAATAGATAGCAGTGATTCCGTGAGTGATGGTGAAAGTTGTCCTTTCACTACACAATAACTTTCTTCTCTCTTGTTTCCCTCTACCAGCCAGGAAGATTTTCAAAGGTGAGTGTAGGTTAATTTGTTTATTTTTCCATTAGATTGTGTATTTTCTTATTATTGTATATTATATTACTGTTATGTAGTCATTTTTATATGAATATTTAGAATATATAGAATGGATCATCATTTCTGTTATTTCTTGTGGGGAAATTCAGTTTGATACACAAGTGCTTCAGATTACAAGCATGTTTCTGGAACAAATTATGCTCCAACCAAGATTTTACTCTTTTTGCATTTCTGATAGCAAGGTAACTTAAAATTATTATTAGGAAGTATTTAACATCAGGAGTATTTATTTCCTATTACTTTCTCTTGTATTATCCTTAAAGCCTATCAAGTTTATTCTATGTTATATCAAAACAATTATTTTTCTTATGGGAAAACATTCTATGTTTTTCATTTCATCATAAGTATGATTTGTATTAATGAGTATGTGGAACCTATGAAGTACCTTTAAATTGATATTCCAAGATCTAGAGAAGATTTTCCAAGAGAAGATTTTCTCTTACAGAAACTTCCATTTTAAAAAAGAATTTGTGGAAGTATTTATTTTTAAAATACTTTTACCCACTTATATTTCAAATCCATCTTTTGCCTCAGACAAGTAATAAAAAATAAAATTAAAAATTCTCCTTTATTTCTTTGTTTATGCTGCTGACTCTAAGACTTCAAGTTCATATTTTAGTAATATACCAGTCTGACTCATAACCTGTCTTTTTTTTCTTTCACTTTTGATGACTTGCTCAAGAATGCCAGAGAAAGTGGGGCGCCTGGGTGGCTTAGTCGGTTAAGCGACCAACTTTCGCTTAGGTCATGATCTCGCGGTTTGTGGGCTCGAGCCCCGCGTCGGGCTCTGTGCTGACTGCCAGCTCAGAGCCTGGGGCCTATTTCAGTCTGTGTCTCCCTCTCTCTCTGACCCTCCCCTGCTCACGCTGTCTCTCTCCTAGAAATAAATAAAAACATTTTAAAAAAATATTAAAAAAGAATGCCAGAGAAAGTTTAGTTTCCTGGCTTTCACTGCATCAGTCTCTATATAATTATATTAATATCAGAATAGGTAAGGCGTTCAAATTCTAATAATAACAATGGTGATAAAATAAGTACTATCATTTTTACCAGTTTCATGATCATATTAGTCTCTTTATGTGTGTGCCACCTATAGTGTCTGAAAAAATTATGCCAAGATTAATACATGAAATGATTTCTACATTCAGGGATTTGATATCCCAGGCCAATAAGCAGGATCTTATCATAGAACAGATAAAATAATATATATTACCTTAGTGTATTTACTTAAGCAATATAAATAATACTTCTTTGGTTAAAACTGTACCTTTGCTATTTTTCTTTTCTTCTCTCAGGCAAGATGCACTGTCTTTTTTTTTTTTTTGGCCAGTAAGAAAGTACATGGAAGGGAAATAGTAGCACAAAGAAAGAGGCCAGAAAAGAAATGCTGTGGAGTAAGAAAAGAAGGCAAGGTGGAGAATACCAGCAATGAAGAAACACCGTGCCCAGAGACAAGGGTGTAGAAAATTGTTGTTTGGGAGAATTATAAAAGTTGTAGAAATTTCTTCAATACACACTGTAAAAAAGATAAAGAAAAGTATACGCTTGACCTGTGAACAAGATTTAATTCTTTCTTTCTTTGTTTCTTTCTTTCTTTATTGTAGTAGAACTAAGGAAAATATAAGGGAACAAATATTCCTCCAGTGTGAGACCAACATAAATAAAGCTTCTATTCACAAGGGCTAAACGTTGCTATATATCTTCATTTCCAGGCTTACATTTCTTACCCTCTCTGGGATTAGGCACTTGAATTGATTGCTATTATTAGTGATCTTTTTTTAATTCTAAGGGTTTTATCTCCTTTACTTCTCTGAGTTGCTACAAGTTTTTGGATGTTAGATGAGAAATTCTAATATTAGCAGAATTTTCTCTTGCTAAATAAATGGTACTGTATGAGAGGAATAAAGGAGATTGAAATAAGAATCTAGGTTATTTTCTGAAGGGTATGGTTTATTATCAGTTTCTGTTTAAATCCTTCTTCAGTGATACCAATAGTAATGGATATTAAAACATACCATATCACAAGGCCTACGAGACAGATAATAAAGACTGAATATAAATCAAATGACATATACAAATAGAATAATCAAACACCTTCTGAAAAAAATCTTCTGGATCACTAATTAATTAATGAAGACTTGTTCTCTATGAGAACATCCCAATTTGCATTACAAAGAACAAAATCCTGAAATGTGTTTTTAAAAAGTCTGGAATATCCTGCTAATGCAATCTTCCTGAAAAAGAAATCTATTCTTAGTGATCTTTTATCTCTTTTAAAATGGTCAAAAATAGAAGTTGTGTAGGTGTCTAGGGGGCTTATCCATCACTTGACATTTATTCTTTTTTTAGACTCTCACGTTGTTCTTTATTGAATTTAAATGTTGCTGATTATTTATGCAACTTTCTCTCCTTGGAATTTTCTGAAACTGTAATTTACTACTTGACTTTCAAACTCCATCATTGTTCTAAGAAGAACATGGTACACTCACTATACTCTGACAGAGTGACTGACTTAGAACTTCAGTTATAAAATACAGGTAAAATGGATTTTTGAAGCATTTACTGTGATTGTACATGTAAGTTAAATGATGTGAAAAATTTTATAGTATTACATTTTGAAAATATTACAAATTCAGTGTGTATTTGAAATGAAAATAATGTATTATTAATTGCAACTGTTGACAATAAAATTTCTGAGTTAATAAATAATTTATGACAGTATAGCCTTATGTTAAATCTTAGAAACAAATTAATACAAATCCAAAAAGTTATGGTGTCTTTGCTCTTCATGGTTTTCTTTGGCTGGTCATTTTCTGATTATTTACTCTCGAACTGTTATCTAAAAATAGCATGGATGTCTCTGAATAGAGATGAAAGGTGATAGCATAATGTTTCAACCATTGCAAAAAGTAGTTAGCTGAACAGGTGACTGACAAATACTGCATAATGAGAATAGATTAGAACTCAGTAACTCTATCAAGGATAATAGTATTCACATTAAAGGGATCACAGAAGAAGAAGAGAAAGAAAGTGGGGAGGGGGAGAGAATATATTTGAAGAAATAATAACTGAAAGCTTCCCAAATCTGGGGAGGGAAACAGAGATACGGGAAGCACAGGGTCCTCCAAGGCAAATTCAACCCAATGAGGTCCACACCCACGAAATATACTAATTAAAATGCCAAAAAAAAAAAAATACAGTGACAGAGAAAGACTACATTTTAAAGGTTGTGAAGGAAAGAAGATAGCTACATACATAGGAATCTCCATAAGGCTACCAGCTGATTTTTCAGCAGAAACTTTGCAGGGCAGAAGGGAGTGCTATGATATATTCAAAGTGCTGAAGGAGAAAAACCTGCATCCAGGAATACTCTACCCAACAAGAACCAAATGTAATTTTAATTGTAAATTACTTCAATATAAAAGTCATGCTGTTCATGCTAATTTACCATTTTGTTTTCATTGCCAATAATAAAGTCACAGTAGAGAATTTAGCATATTTTAAACATAAAAACAAAGTGAATTCTTGAGACATACTTAAAAAACAAAAACATATTAACACATAAGAATTACCACAAGGAAGTTACTAAATGAATCAATATTTGTGCATTTTAATTATATAAATATTCATAGTTTCCATTTTATTTGTGTCACGTCTATTTTATATGTCATCATAACATATATATGTGTAAATATATTTTATATAATTATATTACAGTATATTATTCATGTATATATAATGAGATGTAGTTAGATAGATGTTAAATATCTATATAGAATACCTACTACTTATTGCAGTTTGGAATTAGATGTGTAAATTCTTTAAAAACCATAAATACATGACAGCTCTTATGTAAAATGATGCATTTCAGCTTGATTACTTAAATGTTATTTTACAAATAAAGAGCTATGTTAAAACAGTTTTCAACATAAAAATTGAATGTGAATTCAATATGAATTCAATATGAATTCTCTCATAAAAATGAAAGAATGTGAATGAAAACCTCATTTCTAAAGTTTAGTTTATTGCATAGTCTCGGATTAGTTTTTGCTATAGTTGCATCTCAGGCAACTCTTAAAGCACAAAGCCTCAGGACATAGTAGCAGTAGGAAGGTTCAGAAAGGTCAGGTTCTCCTGAATGCAGAGAATCTTTACCTAATACAATCTTTCTTGCTTTACCTAATGATAAACATGACCCAAGGAATCTGATAATATCAACAGGAAACACAGAACCAAATAAAACAAATAAAATAAGAAAATAAACCTAAATATAAATGAAATTGATTATTTTATAATATACAAGGAGGAGTCTCCACAAAGTATAAGAAGAAAATATCCTTGGAAGATATTTATTGTTGGCAACAATATGTAATCATTTTACATCTGATCTATTTTTAAAAAAGTATGTGTGGTGTTAAATACTACAGAAAGTTAAGACTTTGAAAAAAATATATATTGAAACTAAAATTAGGCCAGAAATAACCAGTTAAATATGCCAGGTAGTTACATATACTATTGCCTTCTTTTCTTCAAATAATAAAAACAGAAAAAAAAAGGCAATAAGTAGGGGAAAATACATTGCAAGCTAAGAGCAATTTACCTAAAGAGGAAACAATGAAAAAATAAGTAATGCAGTTGAATTCTGAAAAATATAAAGTGGATGGTAGTGTTGTAACATACTGAACAGAGTAGAACATAAAGACTCAAAGGCCTATAGCAACAATGAAGGACACTAATAAAAGCAAAAATATTTGCCCATCATAGAATTAGATTTCTAGGAGATTCTGAGCATGGATTACAGTATTTGTGTTTATTAGATATTAGGGATCACCATCTGAAAAGAATAAGGGAGAAAGTATGGTTTGGTGAAGGGAGAAACTGAACCATGATGCAGTCTGAATAAAGCCTTGGGAATCCCACAAGGAGTTCTAAAACATA